GGGACTAAAAAGTACACCTGTCCTGATGAGCACCGGGTGATGTATGGAAGTGTTGAATTACTATACTGTACACCTGAAACTAATATTACACTGGTTGTTAACTAATTAGAATTTAAATAAAAACTTAAAAGAATCTTTCCCATTCTTTGTAATACTGATTCTGAAACATGGTCTAATTTACCCGCCAACGCGTATGACAATATTTCACCAAACTGAAGACACCTTCAGTTGCAGGTCATATAAGACCATCCTAAGTTCTGCCAGGCATGAATTGGAAAAGTCATGGTGCTGATTAAACTATGACATTTTTCGTTTGAAGGCTTTCCTTCAATTAAGAAGTTGTTCTTTTAGATTTCTTTATATTTTTGTCATATAGTCCTCTTGCATACACATGAAAAGTAAAATATAAGTGAAAAATTAATGAGGTAGTCCTAAAACTTTCTCATATTTAGAACTTGCCTCTCCTATATCACTTTTGCCTTCAGAGTAATTGACCTCTGTCTTTACCCACACCCTATCAGAGGATGATTTCTTAAGAGGGCTCCACCACTGTTTCTTGGATTTTCTTCCAAACCACATGTGGTCTGGCCAGCAGAGATTGTAAAAACCCATCCTGGTTTCAGTGATTTTAATGTGATAAAATGTGCAGGTTAGAATGGATGAAATTGACATTGGGGAGGGTATGTGCTATGGTGAGCACTGTGAATTGTGTAAGACTGTTGAATCACAGACCTGTACCTCTGAAACAAATAATGCATTATATGTTAAGAAAAAAAAAGAAGAGGGTAGTAGGAAGGGAAAAATGAAGGGGGGGAAATCAGAGGGGGAGACGAACCATGAGAGACTATGGACTCTGAGAAACAAACTGAGGGTTCTAGAGGGGAGGGGGGTGGGGGGATGGGTTAGCCAGGTGATGGGTATTAAAGAGGGCACGTACTGAACGGAGCACTGGGTGTAATACACAAACAATGAATCATGGAACAGTACATAAAAAACTAATGATGTAATGTATGGTGATTAACAACATAATAAAAAAA